AACTATGAACGCGGCCAACTGACCTAGTTGAGGGACCCACGGACCTCCTGAGGGTGCGAACTGACGCGCAATTCGCATGGAAAAATTTGACCTCGGCGACCTATCATGCCTCAAAGCTGGCGGGTCCGGCGATCTCCGCCCACCGATCATCTGATCACTCGCCGTAGTTCAATACGTGGCGAGTGATTAGATAGCTGAGAGAGCGTAGTGTTGAAGAGGGCACAGCGATGAGAGTCGCATCAATGCTCAAATCAACGGGCAAGGAAGGGGTCCCATTTCTCGGGTTCTGGGCCGTTTCTCATGGTTCTTCCTTCTTTCGTGTACCACTCACCATCCCTAGGTTAATTTGAAATGGGTTGCCATCGTGAATTCGTCCTTTCAAATGAGCGCACACTCACTTGTCGCCACTTTTATCAGTACAGTTGACGCTCATTACCACTCCTGTCACCACCATCAACACCTCGCTCCCTTGATCGCTTGCCAGTGATAATTGCAACGAAGTTGGAGAGACCTGCATTCAGACGCTCCTTATCATTCCTTGTCATTTGTTATCAGTTCATACTGTTCGCAATCGGTGTCCCGTCCCACACCCATGCAACGTGTAGGAGCTAAGTATTTACTGTCGCCACGAAGGCTACAACGAAATTAGTGGTACTCAAATCCTAACTTCCTTATCAACCGTTATCAGTTGTTATCACTTTTGATCATCCACTATCCGTGTTCCCGTCCCATCCCTATACCACATGTAGAGCCAAGGTTCAATGTCACCGCAAAGGCCGCAACGAAACTGGTGGTATCCACACTTTGACGCCCCTTATCAGTTCTTATCAGTTGCTACCACCTTCTTCCAATCACCTTCTTGGTCCCTGCCTCACCCCTCATGAGTTCGATCATCGCCATGACAGCCCTTATCAGTTATCACTTTCATTCGTCCACCAGCAATTTCCCGCTCCCACCCCACATTACTCCTGTAAGTATGGTTGCTCTGGTGTCAACGCGAGCTAACGGAATCGACGACTTTTGCGTTCTGACGCGCCTTATCAGCCCTTATCAAGTTGTTATCACTTTCCAATCACCCACCAACAATGTCCCCGTCCCACCCCACATAACACTTGTAAGTATGGTTGCTCTGGTGTCAACGCGAGCCAGGCAACGGAATCGACGACTTTTGTTCTAACGCATCTTATCAGCCCTTATCAGTTGCTATCGCTTCCATTCATGTACCACCAATGTCCCGGGACCACCCCACATAACACTTGTAAGTATAGACGCTCTAGTACCAATATGAACGACAAAACGAAATTGGCGATGCTCGCTTTCTAGCCCCTCTTATCAGCTATTATCAGTCGTTATCAATTCCTATCACATACCACGTGGCCATCTCCCCCTTATTATTAAAACCAGATTAGTCCCCCGTCAACCGCCGGGACCTTCCTTTCCTGCGCAAGCTTTCTATCCTCCGCTATGGTCCCTTCCTCCTGTGACACCAACACCTCCTGGAAGTGACGCGTATGCAACACAATGGTGTTTCATACAGTAGAAGGGACACAATCATGATATGACGGTAGATTTTTCGCTTCCCTTCCTCATCCTCCCTTCCTCTCTCCACTGCCCTCCAGCTGCCACTGCAGCACCATGTGGAATGAACGGAAGTGTGCTAAGCAGGTGTTTATATAGCCCTAAGAGTGTTATCACAACTATCCTGCTACAAAACATTGATATCTCAAATCCTGTAAGCTACCCGATTTGTTAGCGGTTTGTTTATCCCATGAGCTTCCTTCTCACTCACTTCATTTTGCGGACGGACACACATACATACATACATACATACATACATACATACATACATACATACATACATACATACATACATACATACACACGCACACACATACAGACATACAAACCGACACACAAAGTTAGCGCTTTATAAAATAGAAGGATACTGCGCTATCGTTACTGTGACTCGAGCTATGAATTTCCGGTCAAACATACACACACACCAACAGACACACAGCCGATTATATATAGTGGGATTCCTATGAAGACGCCAAGTGTATGGAATAAACGCATTTTAGGAAGCGAAATTCTATAGAACCGACATGGAAAAACAGCTTCATCGGCCTCGCCCAGTGAACAGCCGGACGTCCATACGGTAAAAGACCTGGAGATTACATTGAATAGAAAGAAATGGTGAACATTCAATGAAAACTACTAGGTTGGAAGAGAAGTTCTGAAACGCCCCGCAGCCAAAACTTGAAACTTATTTTTTATCCTTTGTTTTTCTTTCTAAGACCCGTAGTATATTGACCATCAGACTCAGCAACATTACGCCATCGGGCAATTGGTTGGCACCTTATTTGTAGAAAATAGAGAATTTGTGTCAAACAACCATTTGAAGTCAAAATTGCAGTCCTTCTTGTTGCCGCGCACGCAGTAAGTAAGCGAGCAGGAAAGGTGGAAGACGTGCATGGATAGGTTTGACCGAATATGGCAGACGGGCAACCGCGGTCCAGCCTAGCTTGAGAATCTGGTGGCTTGAGACCGAAGACACGCGCCGTTGCGCGTTGTCGTGGAGCAGGTTGACTTGTCGCTATATTCCGCGAAGCTTTTCTGCAATCGTTTCGAGCACCTAGCAGTGTGTAGCCCTTGTACTCGTCAATCCTGCAGACAGAGCATCATCCGTGGGAAATACCGTCAAAATTCCAAAAATTTGACAGCATCACCATCCTCCCATAATTTCCAGTCGAGGAATTGCAACTCCAGTTCCCCACACTCCAAGCCGCTGCCGCTGTCAGATGTAGTTCCAGCAGACAGCATTCATGCCTCCACCAATGGCCACCTGCCACGGCCGGCATCGTTAGCGAGAAGTAATGTGCAAATGTCCACCCGGTGAAATCGTGTGATACCTATTGACCACATTTCCAGGACCTGCTCAACCTCCGGAAGAGCCCAGAGGACGGGCTTTTGGAAGCACTCCCTCAGCTTGTGTGACATTTGCCTAGAATCGCCTTTGATTACGGCGGTGACGAGGTCAAGATGGGCAGCAGTCGTGTTTTGTGTCAGAAAGATAAAAGTCTTCGCTGCGGAGCGTTTGAGCCAAGCTACCGCCATGTGAGGAAACGTGCCCTAGCCTATCCGAACGAAGCGTCTCTCATGGGCCGATCTCTTCAGGAGAAGCTCGCACAAGATGAGCGCTCGGATGGTCTCGCGAGAGAAGTCGACTTTGTGCGATGCAAACGCCACTGTTGGAAACCTGATCTGAGACCAGAGTCAACCCTGCGTTGCGCAGTTCGCAACGGCACGTTGAGAGATCCTCAACGCACGCTGTATGGGCGGAGACACAGACGGCTCGAGCATGCGAGTGTGAATGTTCGCGCGAGAGAACGTGTCTAATCGGGCGAAACTGCGCAACGTGGCCGTTGAAAACTGCGCAACGCAGGGTTGACTCTTTGAGCCGTACGCAGCACAGTCCGCTCCTTCTATACACCACCCATGGAAAATTCCAGAGCATTCGGGAGAAATCCAGAAAGACCGCGAATTAAGTGTTCCAGAACTCTCCTCCCAACCTGATATGTACAATGCCACCATGTATACTCTAAGAACTGCACTAGGGTGAGACAGTTCAGTTATGTTAAGAACCACAGCCAAACGTAGACGCTCTTTTCACTCGAAGGCAAACTTCGAACTCAGTCTGACTAGTAGAAAAGACACCGCAAGGAAACTGTGGGGTCCGTACCTTCATAGATCCTGCCGGCTTCGCTACCTTAACCACGCGACTAAGGCGCTAATCCATCACGGCCCTGCAACCATCGACCCCGGTTGCAACCTTTCCACTACTGCATCGATATGGAGATCAGCGTGCTCTCTCGAATGTCGTGCCCTCTCGCGTGTTTTGCCTTCTATCGCCCTGTGTTGTCAGTCATCATTGGTAGCTCTTTTATACACCAGTTTCAACCCGGGGCTTGCCTTCAAAGGAAGCGATCACACTGGCTTCCACGCTTGCCCTCGCGTTATCAATCGATAAGGTGTGAGGCAGTAATTGTTGGACGAGTGTAAGCCCATGGAAGATATGATACGATGAGATAAGAAGGTGCGGCTGCTTGATAAGAGGTGCACTCCAGAATGAAAACGGGACGATAACGATAACGGTATCATATCTAGCACGCTCTTATCGCACCCCTTTCCACATCGATAAGTCTTTGTTTTTGCTAACCGGAAGTGGATTTCGGCGCCTTATCACTCCGTTGATAAGGCGCCACTGCCACTGAAACTTCACGTGTTCTAACATTGGGCAGGACCCCTATCCACTCCAGTACACAGCTTTCCTTATCGTCCCTATGAGAATTATCGTGACCACTTCCTTTAGGTGATACGATTCCGTTTTTCATCGGTAATTTCCTATGTCACTGATAAGAGTCGCATCGTTAGAGTTTGAATTGCAATTAGCATTCGCATGAGTGGCGGACGAATGTACAAATTTAGCACGGTTGATTTTAAAGGAAGCGATTACGAGGAAGAGGGAGCGTATTGAGAAAATATGCGCCACACGAAGTAGTAGCTTAGCTGCCATAGAGGCAAGGTATGGTGGCAAGGTATTCACGCCGACGCTGCGCTAAGTTGCTGAGCGCTTCATGAAAAGCGCTCCGTTTCAAAAGCACTCCATCTACTAATTTAGTTTGGTGATATGGGTGAACTATTGCCGGCAGCGCACAGCAAGAACAATTCAATGGAGCATTGGTTGACATGATTTCATCTAACATTGCGGTAAACTCGTCTATACGTCCGCAGTCTTTCGTCTGCTAGTCGGTGAGCGAAAAAGCGGCCACAAAGGGTTGCCCAGTTGTGTTTTCTTGACGGGCTTCACTGCTTTTTTTCGCCTATTGGCACACCACTGAGCACCCCCACGTCCGCTCGGGACCCTTGGAAATCCATCGTATTTGCTCACCTCCTCGTCCCCTTAAAAACCCTCCAAAACTCATCGTGGACGTTGTATTTACGTCTGTCTACCGACCTCATCTTCCACTTCTCTATAACCACTGTCCATGACATCCAATCGGTCCGCGTAATCAAGCACGTGAGCAAAAAGGAGTCCTAACAATCAACGAAGTGGACCAGCCTTTTTCGACTGCTCAGTCGCAAGCCTTTTTCTTGAAGAAGTGAATAGAGAGATTTCAATCCGATTCTTCTTTGTTCCCTGAACAATAGTCGAGCAAGGCAAATCACTGATAACCGTGGTAGCAAGCGAGACGCTGCGTGCTCAATTCGAATTAGTGGAGGTCAAACTGATCGTGCAACTCTCAGCGTACTATCAATTGATAAACAAAAAGTTCTGATTTGGTGGCTTGACAATTGCTAGCATAACACTCCGCCACAAGAGAGCTCGCAAGAAAAGATAATAGTGGCACGTCCCCGAATAACACGAGTATATTGACGGAGATAAGTAAACGAGATTGTCAAGCACAACGGATTGATTGGCCGCCGCTCATGACCAATGACAGAGGCCGTATCGTATTTGAATACTACTGCGATTTTGAAGAGAAATTCACCGGTGGTTCTCCGTAGAAGGCGAAATCGATGCCAATTATTTAGCCATTAATCGATAGAAGAAGCGGAGGAATAGGCAAAGATTCTTCAACTTGATTCTCCATTAGGACTTAGTACATAATCTCCTTCCAGGATCGCAATTATGCAGCGCGATTTGGTCCACAGAATAACATGCGGGACCAGATGACGTACATGTCAACGTTTTTACTGTCCTAGAAAGACAAGTTCGTTGTGCTTAGACGGTATCCGAACCGAGATTTGACTCGTGAATGGCGCTCGTGGTTATTGGTGCCACGTTCTCTTAATCGTCGTTATTTTAGATATTGTTCAGGGTTTATGGTGCAGGTGATGAGGACAAAAGGTAGGGTATACGCTACAATTGGACGAATAGGCGAGCAGACACGTACGCAGTCTTAGTCGCTTACGCGCCTACTCGTCCATTAAGTTTATGTATACGCTATCCTTTTCTCTTTTCATCCTTTTTTTACAAGCCTGATCTCCCAATCGCGTCTGTGGTCTCAATCTACGAACGTATCGCTCCGAAGTATAAACATTATTGCTCACTCCTGGAAACGTCCTTTTATCAGTCCTAGATGGATCACGATACAGATCACGGCTTCAAGGTGCGGTTCATTTTTACCCTTTAGTATTAGTTGTGCTCGAATACATTCCAAAAGCTAGGTGAGTTTGACTACGACCCCAAGCATCTTGTTGGCCAGCTCTTCGCCTTGTCAACCCTCGCCCTTTAGAACTATGAAATATGCCGCGAAGGTGACGAAGACCACACCTGGTAGCGGTACTGGTGCAGGCAACACTATTGTTTCGAGCACAGCAGTAGACGCTAAACAGGGCACCACAGGAGCCATCACAGAATTTCCTTCAAATACTGCCATCGATCCTGTCACAAAAGCCGTCTCCAAAGTTACGTCGGAAAGTGCCACAGAAACTCATTACAAAAGCAGTGACAAAAGCAGCAGGTACCTTATGATTGCCTATTAAATTCTGCTTGCAAGAGATTGTATATCGCTTCATTTTCCAGAACGGACGACTAGTGATGCAGCCAAGGCGTCAGCTGATGTCACAGCCACCATACCAGCAACAGTAGCCGATATTACACGTTGGTAACCAATATTACCTCTAGCCGCTCTTACGATTAGGCAGCGTTCATAGTTGTTTCGTACATGCAATTGAGCGATTAGGCAACTAGGCGATGATTAATAAGGAAAGCATAAGCGCCGATCAGGTGAGTGAGCGATTAGGCGATCTACTATATGTATAATCGGCTAAGCGGTTGTGTGTGTGTCTGTGTGTGTGTGTGTGTGTGTATGTGTTTGTCTGTCTGACCGGAAATTCATAGCTCGGGCACCAGTGGTCGTCAGGAGTTGGTTTCAAGATATGATAGGGGGTGGGACGGGAACATATTTGGTGGGGTAAAGAAAGTGATCACAACTGATAAGGGCTGATAAAAGGCGCTAGAACGCAAGTGTCGCGAAATTCATAGCTCGGGCACCAGTGGTCGTCAGGAGTTGGTTTCAAGATATGATATAGGGGGTGGGACGGGAACATATTTGGTGGGGTACAGAAAGTGATCAAAACTGATAAGGGCTGATAAAAGGCGCTAGAACGCAAGTGTCGCGAAATTCATAGCTCGGGCACCAGTGGTCGTCAGGAGTTGGTTTCAAGATATGATATAGGGGGTGGGACGGGAACATATTTGGTGGGGTACAGAAAGTGATAACAACTGATAAGGGCTGATAAAAGGCGCTAGAACGCAAGTGTCGCGAAATTCATAGCTCGGGCACCAGTGGTCGTCAGGAGTTGGTTTCAAGATATGATATAGGGGGTGGGACGGGAACATATTTGGTGGGGTAAAGAAAGTGATCACAACTGATAAGGGCTGATAAAAGGCGCTAGAACGCAAGTGTCGCGAAATTCATAGCTCGGGCACCAGTGGTCGTCAGGAGTTGGTTTCAAGATATGATATAGGGGGTGGGACGGGAACATATTTGGTGGGGTAAAGAAAGTGATCACAACTGATAAGGGCTGATAAAAGGCGCTAGAACGCAAGTGTCGCGAAATTCATAGCTCGGGCACCAGTGGTCGTCAGGAGTTGGTTTCAAGATATGATATAGGGGGTGGGACGGGAACATATTTGGTGGGGGTCACAAAGTGATAACGACTGATATGAGCAGATAAGAGGCGCTGAAACACAATTTTCACAAAATTCATAGTGCGCTTCGCAGCAGTCGTCAGGAACTGATTTTGGGACATGATATGGGGGTTGGACGGTAACATATTTTGTGGGGGTCAAAAAGTGATAACGACAGATGAGGACTGATAATTACGATATGCGTACGAACGTAGAGATTACTCGAAACCAGATTGCAGATAATGCATTTCATTTCAATATCATTTCATTAGCGTTATAATTGTAAATTCAAACACCTTTCAACCGCTACACCTTCTAGAGTTCTTGAGGATGAATGGGATGCTCTAATAAATTTGATAGTGAATACTGGGCATTCCGTCTTGAGATTACCAAAAATTATTCGACCGCTAAATTTCCTCGATTCTCGATGCATGGTGGTTGTTTACATACATCACTTTAGCTGTGCACTTCACTGCGCTTATCAAACAGTGAGATACAGCCAAGATGGGCAACGGACAGTAATGCATTTAACGAAGCAGCTATAGTTAAGCGGTGAAACCCAAAGCTTCACCGATTGTCAGTTTTGTCAGAGGCTTCCGTGTCATGCGCGCGGTAGCGGGCGGAGCTAAACTGGTAAAAATATGCAATCTGCAGGAATCGACCTAGGTCAAGACGCGAGCATTCCGCACCTCCATTTATGATGCACAGACACAACCAAACATGGGAAACCGAACGATCTAAGAGACCAAAACGTCCGCAAAAAGCATCTGGACTAATGCTGAATCGCAGCTTCATTTTGATTCATACTCAGGTGAGCTGGTAACACTATATAATGCCGTATAAGCGGTTGGTGTGTGTGTGTGTGTGTGTGTTGTGTGTGTGTGTGTGTGTGTGTGTGTATGTGTTTGTCTGTCTGACCGGAAATTCATAGCTCGGGCACCAGTGGTCGTCAGGAGTTGGTTTCAAGATATGATATAGGGGGTGGGACGGGAACATATTTGGTGGGGACCAGAAAGTGATAACGGCTGATAGGGGCTGATAAGAAGCGCTAGAACGCAATGTCACGAAATTCACAGCGCAGGCCCAGCAGCATTGAGGCGTTGCTTTGCAGATATGATATAGGGGGTGGGACGGGAACATATTTGATGGGGACCAGAAAGTGATAACGGCTGATAGGGGCTGATAAGGAGCGATAAAAGCAAATGTACTGAAGTTCTTATCCAGATGTGGGATAAGAAAACATCTCATTTTTTGCGATGTAGTCGTGATCCATTCGACCGCTAATCTGCCCGAGCTTCCTAAGATGGTCGGTGTCTGTGGAAATACGATAAATTGGTAATTCTATCGCATCACCGGTAAAAGAAGTTATTAGACCGCTAAACTATCCCAGTATCCAAGCATGGTAGATGTTTACGCTGAGGGGTGATAATAAGCAGCCCAAGTAATTGTATTAGTTATCCAAAGGTCATTCGGCTGCTAGACTTTGTTAGTTCTAGAAAAATGATGGATGTTTTGGTATTCGAGCTATGAGAAATTACTGCTTTATCATCTGATTTCCTTAATACCATCAGTAAAATCATTGAAAGCAGTATGTTACTCAATACAACAGCCCGGCTATACTCTGTTTCACAGAAGCCTATGTTGACATGCGCGCGATAGCGGGCGGAGCAAAACTGGTATTAGTGTATTAGTGAGATTTACTTACAAGAATACAATCATTGTTAGCCTAATTGTAAGCCTTACTATCAACTACTTTCGCTCTCTGTTGTGTCCCTTGTCCCACACCATATACTCATATGAGTGCAAACTCTCCACTGTCAACGCGAACGGCGTAACGAAATTGGTGACATCAACATTTCGACGTCCGTTATCAGCTCCTATCAGTAGTTATCACTTCCCGCCACCCATCATCAGTGTTCACCTCCGGCCCCTTATATATCCTAGAAGTTTGAGCGCTCTGGGTCCAAAGGGAGTGAAGTTATGAATTTCCGGTCAGACAGACAGATACACACGCACAACCGCTTGGCCGATTATATGTAGTAGGATAGGATGGGAGGCGGTCATATGGCGCGATCCCATTGGCATTAGAGCGCACAGGCCGCAATTGCCCATCCTGCTGCGGCCGGACAACTCGTCCGTATCACTCAACTACTAGACTTCAGTAATTGATCGATCTGATAATTTGGGTCTCAAAATCTCGCTGAGTCCCAAAGCTCTAAAAAAGAGCGGATAGCTTCGCTGGCCTGATGCCAAGGCAAGAGGAACGGAACAGAATGTGTTGCGCGGACGAGTTGTCCGGCCACAGCAGGTCGTGGTAAGTTACGGCCCGTGCGCTCCAATGCCAATGGGAT